TATAGTCATAGCATGCCATACCCACCACATACTCGGTGTAACAGTTTCGCTTCACATACTTGCCGGGATAAGTTTCTTGAATTGCATTCTTATAAATATGGAAATTTTTGAATAAAAAGTTTAAATGGAGCACATTTTTTTAAATTCTGAATTAAACAAAATGAAAAAATACCCAGTGAACAACAAAAAACTGTTCCATAACTGTTACAGATTTGTTCCATATCTGTAACAGTTATGGAACAGTTTTTTTGTGTTCACTGGGTAATAATATTTATTTATACATAGGGTTATTAATCGTACTCATCATCCTGGACATGTACTCCTTTCAGGATCAGCGAGGTTTGTCCTACTGCTTTTTCTTCAGTGTACATGTATTTGTCTGGTTTTTTTTAAATATGATAATTTTAAAAAACAGGACATTTTTCTCTGGAATTAAGAGTTTTTGACTAGAATCGACTATAATCAATACATGCAAAACCTATCTCTGAACCTTTATTAATTAAAAACTTTTAAACATTTGAATATTTACAATTTAAAAGGTTTGAACTTGACGAAGAGTCTTGACTTTTCTAATAATTTTCTAGTTAAATCTTGAAGATTTTTCGGAAAAAATGAAAATACGGACATGAAAAATGGTAAATTATGAAGAAACTTTTTATTAAAGTGTTCTTGTTCAGAAGAATAGTCAAAACTTTCAAAAATAACACAATTCTATTTTGCTCTTCCATCGCGCAATGCAAATGTGAAATGCTGGATTTTCACTCTTACCAATGGGCAATGGTCGAAAAGTAGAAACAGATGAAAAGTTTTTGGTATAAAAGGAATTATACAAACTATCGATTTTGATGAATTAATTAGTACGCGTTTTATAAACACAATTTAAAAACCGAAGCCTTATTGATATTGAACAAAACTATACATGAAAAGAACATATAACTGAAGTTTCTCGCAAAATGTTTACGATACTTTTAATAGTTCAATGGTATCAGATTCACTTTCAACTCCAACCCGACTGTAATTTGTTAGGTCTCTTATTTATCTTAAATTAAAGTAGAAATATCTTTTAATCCAATGTCCATTTCGTAAACAATCCGTCAATTTGCAACGATATTTCATGTCGTCATTCATTTTTACGATCTTTACAAACGTTTCTCCTATAAAACTGGTCTGGTTATTGCTGATGGTATGGTTATTACTGGTGATGTGCCAAACATTTAAGTGTCATTAGTGGGTCGTATTTTAATTCAAATTAAATACTTAATAAAAACGTCACGGGGAGGAAAAGACACACTTTTCTTCCGCTATGCATAGGTCAGAAGTGGTGTACTTCCGGAGTTTGTGTTAGGAAAAATATTGCAACTCGAAAAAAATGGTTGATTTTCACGAGTGTAATTTGCAATTGGAGGTGTAGCGAGAGTACAAGGCGAAGGCTTGCGAGCAACGACAACTGTAAAACACGAGTTTCAGGTGTATGGGTATATCGTCCAATTAAGGACGCTGCACGGTGGAACTGACCTCCGCCTTTTGCGGGAAAACAATTAAAACCATACGATACTAAATAAGACACGGTCGTCTAGCGGGAAATGTCAGTTAAACTCCTCGATTAATTTATCCAAGGTGGCGTCACACCCTGCATTGCATGGTTAATTCCGGAATAAAATAAATCACATCGACAACAGATCACTACTTTCAAAGTTTCTTTCAACTTTTTTAAATCGAATCCAACAAGAAGCAAACTATTGTCACACCAACACTATCAATCAGATTATCAAAAAGTAGGTAGACTGTCATTTCCCCCAAAATTTATTTTACGGAAAAAATTTAGCATTAAAAAACAAATTAGTTTTCTAATGAACACTGCAAAAAGAAACATCTTAAAATACATTGTAGTCACTTTTAACCCTAGAAGGAGTAACAACTGGGGTGTCTGGACACCCCAAGCAAAATTCAAAGTATTCCCATGGCTTAACCAATAATTTTTTTACGCTCAAAACTCGTTGATAATTTAGTTTGAACCTCTATCTTTTGACACCTGTATGTGCCGCCAACAGTTTTGCTCTAGGAAGAGCTCTATCTCCTGTTAAAATACGTCTGGGGTGTCTGGACACCCCAGTTACTCCCTAACGTTAGAAAAATTGTCAAGATAAGTAAATTCAAATTTTTTTAAAAAATCGTTTTTAATCAGTTAAAATCATCTGATAAAGTATAAATTGATAGGTTATGCATGAAAAAGTTGTATTTTATAAAAAAGAAACATTTCTATACAAAATTCTATTTTTTATGAAAAATAGACATTCTGTATTTGTAACAACTTATGAAATTTGAGTTAAGATTTATTAAAAATTTCTGTGCTCTCTCTACAGTCAGAAATTAAATTCTAATACAGAAAAATGTAGTATATGACAGTCAAATTTAAATTATAAATTCTATATTGTTAATAATATTTTAACATATATTAGAGGTATTAAGAATTGATAATTAAAACTTTGATTAAATATTAATTTACAGAATCATTTCATAAGTTATTAATTTTAATGTTAATATATATTCAGATATATTAAGTTTGTAAAATTTTAAATTTATAACATCATTTTTAGCAACCCAATGGGAAATTTACAACTGGCGTAGTACTGCGCCAGCACTGGCAGCACTGGCGGCAAGGCTGAGAGCCAGCACTGGCATAGCACTGGGATGATAACGCCGTCCGGCGCTGCCGAAGTACTGTCTGTCAGTGCTGACAGACAGCGCTGGCGCAGCACTGGACCAGTGCTGTCTGAGAATATTGCCACAATAAATGCCGTATTGTTATTAATTAGTCGTAAATTCATAATTATAAATAATTTAACAACAAAATGGTAAATAATATTAATAAATAGTTATTATTCATAAAATATTTCTCTTCTTAAAGAAATTGTATTGAAGATGGAGACTAACAATGGATATAGTAACTGAAGTAGAAAAAAATTGTTTATAACATTTAAAAATTAAACAATAAACAATTACAGTAAGTGTGCATTAGATTTTCATATTTTAGTACCTAACGATTGGAATCTAGAAATATCGCAAACCTATGAAAATAAACAAAATTGCTGACGAGGGGAATCGAACCTACGACCTACGGACTAACAGACTAACCACTATGCTAACGACACATGTGTACAGTAAAGTATTAACATCTCAGTATCATTCAGACATACAATTATTGAGTCAAAGATGAGAAAAAAATAGGGATACGTTAGAAATAATAAATTGAAATAAAATAAATTAAACTAAATTTTTAATAATTAAATTAAATTACTTTACTTATTGCATTTAACATTTTACGTAATTCTTAAATTACGTGGTAATTTTTTAATAATTTTTTATTCATAGTAAGAAGTATAATAGTATTTTAATAGGAACAAAATTGAGAATAAAAAAAAATAAAAAATAAAAATAGAATAAAAAAAGAATATAGAATAATATAGAATAAAAATAGAATATAGAATAGAATATATAAGAATAAAAATCTCAATTATTGAGATTAAAGTTTAAATTTTGTTTATAATTTTAACTTGTTTAAATAATTTATTATATTTACAAAATTAGACAATTGTGTTAAATTGTTATTATTAAATTTAATAAGAATAAAAAATGAACAACTGAAAAGTAAAATATTAATTTTTTTCAATAAATTTATATTTATAAACATTCCTAAACTTTTTTTATAATTTTTTTCAAGTTTATGTCAAAAAAGCAATGTTGGCAAAGAGCGTTGTGAACAATTTTTCTATACTCAGCCAGCACTTGCCGCCGTGGCTTGTCCAAGCTTTGGCGAAACAAAAATTCTGTACTGCGCCAGCACTAAGTGTCGAGGCTCGGCTAGAATACGCCGAACAATCGTCTGAGTACTAAGCCAGTGGTGAACATCGGCACTACACTGGCATTTCCCATTGGGAAATATTAATTGTTTAAGTCCATTTTATAGTTCATTTTTATGATTTTCACTATTCGTCAATTGTCTTTAATTTCTTTCACTTCAGATGTTCAAATAATTATGTTTTTTGGAAGTAATACAAAAACTAATTTTTTTCCCTCAAACTGTATCTATTTAACTTTAAAAACCTAAAATAGTTTTAAAATTAGTCAAATTTTTAAGAAACTACAACGTTTTTTGTGAAAAAAGTCAATTTTGCAATTTTTTGGTGTTTTTTTTGGGTTTTTATGGTTTTTCTTCAAAATTTTTTTAATTTATCAAAATATGAATAATATTATTGTATTCCTTACTAAAAACCAATCAATTCATTATAATAATTTTTTTTTTAATACGTCAAATATAAACCTTATAAAACAAGTTTAAATCGTGGGGTGTCGGGACACCCCAGTTACTCCTTAGAGGGTGAGTAAACTAACGTACTCCTTCTAGGGTTAAGATATTTGAAATATCTTATTTTTCCATCTTCTATCTTAGAAACCAATGCATTTTAAGATGTTTTTGATAACTTTTTCGAAACAACTTAGAAGTTGATCTAAATTTGTCGTAAGGTTTAAATCGCATTAAATGACAAAAATGAGTATCGCCACACGTCAATTATAAATCTAATGACATGAATGCGATACGTATCTGCTCCTTATTGCCAATAAAGCCTTAGTGTCATCTTATCGATCATCACGTTGGTTCTGAGTAACGCAAATAGGGAGATTTCAATTAAACACATAAAAATATACTTTGACTGCAAAGTATTATTCAATAAAACAATGATTCTAAAACATATAGCCCATTCGAATTACCTTGACTATAATTATGCCCTTCTACGATCCAGCTGTTCAATTCAGGTTAATCCCAAAAATTTAAGGTTTAGTTCTGAGACGCTCGATGAATTATTTCTAATAAAACCTAAAATTATGACAAAATCAACAAAAATAATAAACTAATCAATTATTTATCTTAAGTAGTTATAAGTATAATAAATGAAATTCAGTCAGTAATTTTTTTTAATTCTATATTTTTTATATTTCAGCTATTTGCAATAATAGTATTCGGTTGTATTAGCAACAAAGGATATTTAGTCGATCCAGATGGAAAGGAAAAGTGTCTTTATAACAATGACGCAAATGCTTGTAATTATGGAGTTGGCATCGGCGTGCTGGCATTTCTAGGAAGCCTAGGATTTTTGGTAGGAGAGTATTTATTCGAACAAATGTCTTCAGTAAAAACACGAAAGCATTATGTTTTAATCGATCTCGGGTAAGTCTTCAGAATAAAAATTTATTTATTATTGAAAATAGTCATAAAGAATTACCTTTAAGCAGTCATTTTTTTAAATTTAATTATCATGAATTGAAAATATTTTTGGCTGCTTTTTTTAATATGATTTTATGTGGAAATTAAAACATTTAATATTGCTGGCTGCTCCGGGTAGCTCTCGGTAGCGCGTAGGTCAAGTATCTACATAAGTAATTATCTTACTTTTATTGAGAGGTAAAAAAATTCTGTTAGAAGAAAATTAATTAAAAATAAGTAAGACATAAATGATTTGAGCTGTAAGAACTGAGCTAAGATTGCTAAACCCCAATTCGTTAGAAGCAATCCTTCGATTGTTTGGTGCAACGTATGGGAATTGTGTAGAATTAAAAAAAATTAAATTCGCAGTTTTGAATTTTGAAAATCTTATGTCAGATTTGTAATCAAAGTCTTCAAAAACTTTCAACAAGTCCCAAGCGAATCCGATTTTAACCCAGTTGAAAATTCATGTACATGAACTTCTGCAGGTTTAACCACATGTTAATTTAAAAATATTTAAATTCCTGCAATTAGCTAAAACCTTGGTTTATATTCTAATGAAAAATTGGCGAATCAGTGGAAAATGACTGAAATTTCAGTTATTTTTAACTGATTTTCAGTGAAATTCCACTGATTCAAATCGCGAGAATAGAGAAACTGATTCTCAGTCAAATTTCACTGATTTTCAGTGGAATTTCACTGATTCAGATTAAGAGTATTATATTATTTTAATTATACCTGCTGGTATAATGAGTTTCAAACCGTTTCACAAGGCAGGAGGATTAATATTGATTTGCCAATAAGGTTGTTACAAAAGGATGATTTGTAAATTTCACGTCTATTCCAAATTTTTCCAAGTTAAAACACCCATGAGCTGTGAGCGCTTACTTTAGAAAGTAGGGAACTTGTCCATGTTTCCTATTAATCCAAGTACCTGTCATCTGTCTATGAGCTTGTGTCTCCCTTCTTTACGGATACTTGAAACGATCTATTGGCAGGATACTTGCAAGGACCTTCACAGCACTCGTAGATACCGCCCTTTAAGGGCTGTTTTCGGCACTCACCCCGAGTTAACTCCGGGTTAATGAGGATTAGTTAGATCCAACAGAATGTTATTGATGATTGGATAATCTTTAACTACAGGTTAACTCTGGGTGAGTGCCGAAAACAGCCAAGCGAAGATGATACGCGTGGCTATCGATCTCTTCGCCATTAGTATCTTTTCACAGATGGTTACATATCTCTTTCTCCTCTGGGATGGGGCCCACGCTGGTACCGAGTAAAGCATTTTATCATGGGCTATACTCATTGCATTATCTGATACCGTAATCATGTTGCGATGGAAGTTTAACCTTCCATCCAATTCCACACTCAGATACTTAATCTGCCTCTTCCACTTGACCTCGAATTCGTCTATCACGATTTGTGGGAGCTTGTAACGTGGCCAACAGTACCTCGGCCTTTTCAAGGGCCATTTCAAGAACTCTGGCATACAGCCAGACTTTTGCAAGCCGCAGATATTCATTCATCAATGTCCAACAGTCTTTTCCTTATGTCTGTTGATACCTAGATCACAATCTGTTTTTCCCTTCTTCGGCTAAGTCCACGATTGTCTGTATTATAGCATCAACTCTGGACGGACCGTTACGGAAACAATATTTAAAAGACAATTCCTTATAAAGTTGTTGCTTAAAACAAATGTCAAATGAACATGTACATGAATTTTCAACCGTGTTGTAAGTTAAAGAACCTCTTTGTTGCAAGAGATTTGGAGTTCGTACCTTATTATCGTTGCACAGAAATGTTATCAAGTTTCAGTGCATAAGTATAGAATGACATCTGTTGATTTATTAAACTTTATATAATTCTTTTCACTCCTATGTTAAATGTAATTAATACCAATTAAGAACGCAACAATTTAAATTATTAAAAATTTAAACATAAAAACAGATGACGAAATAAAATCAGGTTTGATTTACAGATTTTCGGGGCTGTGGGCATTCCTGTACTTTGTCGGATTTTGTTATCTAACCAATGCATGGAATAAATCTGAAGATCCACTAAACGGATATGGAGTTAATAGTGTGCAGGCAGCTATAGCATTTTCATTTTTCTCTATTTTCACTTGGGTAAGAATCCGTATTTACACTAACAATATAAATTTCTTTTTTATTTATTACACATTCGTATTACTTGATAATTGCGTTTACAAGCCCAGTAAAAAAAAGTATTGAGTGGAGCCGTTCGGAATTGGGAGTAAACATAAGCCAATACAGATTTGTGTAAAACCCGTATTGGGACGTTTGACTCAATCTTTCTTTCGTCCACCAAATACGGTCCTCTCTTTTAGAGCATTAAAATTAAGATCACATAATGAATTATCCCGGAATATAAAAATGACGATTTCATACAACGATAGGAACTCACACTTAATAAAAATGAAACAATTTTTTAGGCTGGATCTGCGTGGTTTGCTTTCCAAAGGTACAAGCAAGGGTCTAATGCAGCTTTTGCTCCTACATATGAAGCAGATCCAATTGGAGATACAGGATATGCCAGTTATCCTGGTGCTACGGATATTACTTATCAAGATCCACCATTCGCTCAACAGCAGCGAGGCATGAGTGATTTTCAAGCTCCAGCGTATTAAAATCCATTAAAAATTTTATATTAAAATTATTTATATGGGTGATTTTTCAGAAACAGTGCACTCTCGTTTCTTTACTTAATAACTTGAACCTCTGTCTACCCCCTGACAGTTATCGCCTATAATCGAATATTCGTTAATCTAGTGGGCACTATAAGGGATTACGTTCTATAGCACTAGAATGGATATAAGTCAGCATAGGCAGAGGGCTAACAAATAGAATATGAAAAACAAATAGAATGATTAATGGTAATTTCAAGTTAAGTTTTCATCAACTTCCAAATTACAAAACTATTAAACATACAACTTTTGACGCTGTTAAAGTTGATTCGGATTTCATTATAACTTGAAATGACCGAAACTCAGAAAATAATTAAGTTTATTATTATAATTTTTTGTATTTTTAATGTCGACATGTTTTTAATTTGTGCCTTCAACCTACACTATATTGAACACGAATGTTTGAGATGAGTAATTGAACGTGGGTTAGTTGTACGCAAACGAAAGAATCTAACCTACACGCTATGCTGCCGACCTGATCTCAGTGGTTGAATAACCAAGGTACAGTAGAACCTCGTTTATTTGATGTAGCATGAGGAATATAATTACTTTCTGTATTTCAAAGCCATCCACATTATCCATGGATGAATGCTTTGGTTAACCGAATGCCGGATAAACGAGGTTCTACTGTATTTTAATAATGCTGTCGTCTCTTATTTAATGTATTTATGAAATATTTTATTTATTTATAGTTTAATATTATTATTGGTACAGTTGATAATTTTGTTACTACAATAGATACATTACTATTTATAACATGTATGTACTTAATTACGTTATAAGTGAAATGGATGCATATGAAACTTAAAGTGATTAGTCTTTTTTTATTAAATATAAAAGAGCGCGCTTACTCGATTCTTTTATTTCATTTGCATTGTTTCCTAAACATAAATTCAAAATTACAACTATACTTGTCATACAAATATATATTTTATTATAAATATGACATCACTTTAGTAAGATCAATAAAGCAAACATAGTAATCGTTTCAAAATTCTGTGTACACTTTGTCTATTAATAATAACTAAAAATGAACGACGAAGAAAAAACAATATTTTAAATTTTAGTTACTTATCAAGTTTTTAATCCGCGACCACAAAAACATGTAACAATTTTTGAATAAATTTGATGAAATGATAAACAGCATATTTCTTTATAATTAAACAAGTTAAACAATTGTTGTAACACTTTATATTTTTAACACATTTGAATCTTAAATGTAAAAATGGTTTCTTAAAAGTTTCTTATTTTAACAGCATTTAAGAGATTGGAACCAAAAAACATGTATTTCTAAATATTTTTACAGAAAAATATTTATGGTATCCAAAGTGACCATTATTTGGAAAATCACTCATATGTTACGCTAAAAATTGTTATTTTAAAACGTAGTATTTTGCAATAAAAAATAAACTATGCAGTCCTCCATAAAATTACAATATTCTGAAAATAATCGATGCTCAGAAGAAATGAATCACCTGATGGACTTCATGTCAATTCATCACTTAAGTTTCCGTATTTTCAGATTTTTAGTTGTTAATATTTAGTAATAGAATTATTCAAATAGTAGAAAATTTTTTGTTATGCTTTTCTATAATTTTTTTTTCTTAATTTTTTCAAAAAGCACTAATTTTAAAATAAATAATGTTGAAGAAAATTTCAGATAATTTAAAAAAATCCTTTGATATTGTTTTGCAATTCTTGTATATTTTACAAGAAAGCTTGAAAAATATTTTGTGATGAATTGTAATTGATGTCCCAAAAGCAGAGCGAAGAGGTGTTTTTATGCTGGACTTATTATTCCTTTCAAGGAAGTGTAATTAAATGTTTTAGAGCATTCTTTATAATTAATTTATAGCTTTTAAAACATTATAATTTGTAAAAACACTATAAGAGTACAGTTCAAAAATAGTGAATTACACTAAGTGTTTTATAAAAGAAAAGAAAAGAAAAGAATAGACCTAATATCTTATTTTTCTTTGTTTTACACAATGAGGTAAGCATTTAGTTTGAAAATGTTGTTAGTTTTTAAAAAGTGTTTGAAATTTCAAAAGCAGTATAATATTCTGTATAGGAAATGTATTGATTACGGTGGTTCGTCACAAGTTTTGTGTTAATACTAAATGTTAAGAGTAATGCTTAGATGAACAATTCAACAAATAAAATATTGTGTTATTAACATAATGCTTTCCTTAATGCATATAAAACAGCTTTTTCAAAAGCTTTTGTAATATTTACAATAATCCATGAAATATTGAAAATGTATAATCGAAAAAAGTGTTATCTGAAGGCAGTCTGTAATTAGAGTGATGTCTTCATTATCTGTGCAGTATTTTCAAAGTTGAAACTTAATTAAGAAAATATAGCATGGTGTAATTTGATTTGAAATAAAAAGAATCAAACTTGAAGATGATTGTAAAATAATGAGAACAAAATTTACCATCTCGCGCCCAAAGCATCAAGTCTAGTTACTTAGCTGCAATAAGATAACACAACGAAAATTTCCTGTAATTAAAGAGATATTTTCAAAAAAATATCTTTTGTTTAATATGAAGATCGTTTTTTGAAAAACGCTTATTTTTTTCTTACCGTTGATTGTAAATTGCTGCTGAATTGTAAAAACCGCATATTACAATTGTTTGTGGAAATTTGGTCAACACTCAAAATTAAGTCTATAAACATGAAATCTAAAAATTTTCAACTTTTCATGTATTGAAAAAAGTGTACTATAACCATTTTTACCATAATATTTTAATGGATATATAAATATATCCCATTGTAAGATACGTCTTCCCAATAAGAATTAAATTAATTATTAAACGTTGATCACATTTTTTGTTAAGACTAATTGGTAGCAAAATCTAAATAAAATGTCAAAATTCCAAATAAGGGTTAATGTAACTTATAATTTTGTTAATAAATTCAAACCTTTGTTAAACTTACTGTTATTTAATAATTATCCATTGTAATTTTCAGTATGTCGAAGGTAGGGGTACTTTCTTCAAAATTTCGGTTTAGTTTACAAACTGTTCGAAAAAAGAATTTTTTAACATTTAATTGTAAATTTGAACAAAAAATTAATTACATACTTCAATTTTCTAATTTTCATTTCTGATTTGCAATCTTCATCCTTATCAGATATGACATTTCAAATTTTCTAAATCTGGCATCAAGTTTGAATCACCAGATATCAAATTTCATAAAAAATTAATAATCTTTAATAGCTATATCTTATCACCTTTCATTTAAGGGTTGTTTTCAACAATAAAAAATACAAACCACTTGATCGAGCAATTCGCTGATACAGGTATTTTTTTGGCTCTATTTTCTGAAAATTGGCACAAATCTATTAAACTTTCAGAATATGCAATAGAGCGTAAATAAAAAATGGCGCTTCTTTGACAAAAAATTAATCAATTCTTTTTATGGTGCACCGATTCAGACCATGGCTATGAAATGTAATAGAACTGAATATTTATATTTTTGAAATCGCTCATTACGAATCTGTAATCGGATTTTCAAAATTCAAAATGTCGGAACAAATATGGCGGACAAAAATTTTTAAAATTTACTAGATTCGCTTGAAACTTGTTACTTAGAGGTTTTTGGGGTCGCTGATTACGAATCTGCAATAAGATTTTCAAAATACAAAATCAGGGTGGCGAGTTTATTTTTAAATTTGAATTCCCGGTTTTTCCCGGTCAAATTCATAAAATTTCCCTGTCAAATTTTTATCAACAATTAAACAATATTATTGTATAATTTTTTAAATGATCAAGAATGAGAACGAAAAAGCAATAAGACAAACAAAGACATTTAAATTAAATTCTTTTCAATTCTAGTATATTTTATAGACTGCTAACCACCTAGATTGTTGTTAGAATGTTGCTAAACCAAAATTCAAAAGAATAGAAAATTTTATTTTAACTTTTAAGCGCTTTAAATTGTAGCAGCCATAATTGTTATAATAAGACAGCCACAGCAGAACACTAGCAGAAGATTATAATTGTCACAAAAAGACGTTTAAATTAAATTATTATTAATTCTATTATTTTTTATAGACTGTGAACCACCTACAGGGTGGCGAGTTTTTTTTAAATTTGAAGTCCCGGCCAATTTTATAAAATTGCCCGGGCAAATTTTTATCAACAATTAAACACTATTATTGTATAATTTTTTAAATTATCAAGAATAAGAACGAAAAAGCATGAATTTTCAAACGAAGGTACAGTATAGTAGAAAGAAAACAAGAAATTCCCTGTTTAAAACAAAATTTCCCGATTTTTCCCGGATTCCCGGTCAGCTCGACACCCTGAAAATGGCCGATCCATAAAATTGACTTGATTCACTTGATACTTGTTACTCGGGGGATTTTGGTGTCTCTTATTACGAATATATTATCGGATTTTTAAAATTCAAACGTGGGGATTCAATATTACGGAACAAATGCATTCAAAATGTTTCTATCTAACAGCTGTCAGAATGTATTGTTTACGAATGAGTTTTCAGTGGTTTTGTAGTTAGATATGTCATCAATTTTCGAAAATTCAATATATTAGTTCGCGATTATTGTGAATAGCACTTCTCACAATCAATCGATCTGCATAAAACTTGATTCTCTAAAATGTTATTTTTTAAATATAATTTTTTAGTTTAAGTACAGTCAATATGATATCAATTTTTTACACAAATTGTACTAAGAAAATAAGAATTCCATTTGACAAAGGTAGGTATACTTTTTTATTTTAATGTAAAATGTAAATAATATTGTGTTTTAACATTTTTGTCTGACATACTGGATCCGCCATTTTGAATTATAAAAATCTGATTACAGATTCGTAACTAGCGACCTCAAAAACCCCTGAGTAACAAGTTTCAAGCGAATCTAGTAAATTTTAGAAAATTTTGTCCGCCTTTTTGAATTTTGAAAATCCGATTATAGTTTCGCAATGAGCGACCTCAAAAACATACAAAAACTAAATTCTATTACATTTCATGGCCATGGTCTGAATAGGTGCACCATAAAAAGAATTGATTTATTTTTTGTCAAATTAGCGCCATTTTGAATTCACCATTTTGTTTTTTTTATTTACTCTTTTATTCATGTGAAAAAATGTTTTCAGTAAGAAATAATTATTAAAAAAAAAATTATTCATTTTTTTTGGCATTTGTATTAGCAATAACAATGATAATAATAAAAATATTAATACATTAATAATAATAATAATGATTTAAATCTATTGTGCTTCTACGTGTAATCATTATAATTGGAAATAGACGTCTTATTGATTTTTGTATCTGTTATTTAAAACAAGAAGCAGAAAAGTGGTAAGAAGACTTACAAAAGTAATTTGTTTTTTTTTTTTGCTCACATCCTTCATTTCGAGACGAGATAAAAAGAAGCTGTACGGGTTGTCAAGTTCTATTTGGAATTCGAAGTTCTTAACTTAATTTTAATTGTGCTGCCTTCTTCAATATTGGGTCGAACATACTTTCCATCACTATTAGGTATTTAAATTATTTAACTATACTATTTCAATATTTAAGAAACGTATTTTATTCTGGTACTCAATTATTAACTGTAAAAATTTTCAATTTTATTTATTATTTCGCAATAAGCACAAAAAATTATTCTAAAAAGAATTACATTATAATTTTAAATCACAAACTGCAATAAAAAGTTACACTTTTCAAAATTTTTAACTTTTATAACTCCGAATAGATTTAAAGTAGAATGCTTGCTAATAGGTGAAAATATGCGTTTTAAAAATCTCTATTGAACAACAGTTATCATGAAGCATTCAAAATTCGTTCAGTGCTTTTTTTAACTTTAATTTTAAAGTTTTTAGTGACAAATTAAAGTAAATAATCTTCACTCGGAAATACTTTAAGCTGGAGGTGTACCCACATAAAATCATGCAAAACACTTGTGTAATTTAGTTAGCAAAAAATGTTTGGGGAGGGTCGACTACCACTGTAAAAAGAATGTGCTAAATTAGAACTGATTTCGTGTATTAAAATGAAGCTATATATAACAATTTAATATCCAAAATCGGTTCTAAATATACTTATCATTTTACAGTGTATACGTAAGAATGTTATAGCCAAATACTTTCTGACATTTTTATCAAAAATTCCAAACATGAAATTTATTCCAAATGAAAACTCCTTTTAATTCTCTATTATGTTAAAACTTATTGACACCTAGAGATAGGAAACATTTCTAAAGATTATTGTATTAAAAATTTAGAACCTGCTTTCTGGCTCTGCGCATGAGTTTTTGAACATAAATAATTTCGTTTTGTTAATGTGAGTATATTTACTTCAATATTCCAAACATTGATATTTAATAATTTATACTCATTGAGAAATTGCCAACGTCTACAACTTGCATTATAATTATTTTGAACTAATATGAGACCAAGATTTGAAAAAATTATTTTTCATGTTATGTTACAGGTGCCTTTTTTCAAGATGTCCCTACTCACTTACAAGATTTATTATCTGCTTCCTTTTATTAATGAATGTGACCGCACAACTAAATTTTTCAACTGGGTGGGGTAAAAGAAATCACGAGCTGCGAATAAACAAAAATTCTTTACATTCTTCAGAACTTCGTTTATCAATGAAGAAATTAATTAATGTATATCGTCTATTAAATACAGATTAACTAATATGTATTACAAAACTGAATAATAATCAAAATTAATTAACAAATTTTTCATTCAAATACAATTTTTTAAACCTTTCATTTATCTAAATTACTGTTGTTCTTTAGAGTTCAATAGGGGGATCGTGTTTCACTACTTAATGACATGATTATTAAATATTGGAAATTATGTTATTTAGTATTTTTAATCATTTTAATCATGAATTCGAAATATGATTAAAAAACTCTTTAAAAATTAAAATAAAAAAGAAAAACTGGAAAATGTCTCGACCAGCCAGAAAAAATAGTCGTCTGTTTGAACAGTGATTGCCCACTAAAAATTGCTAATATTTCTCTTTCAAATCTAATACATATAATATTTTAAATTATTGTAGAAAAATAAATTTATAGCAATTATTTTTCATTAGAATTAACAATTCTCTTAACACTTTGAAATAATTATTTCACCATGAAAAATGAAGCAATTCTGCCATACAATGGAAAAACTGCAACATAACTGTTCATGAAAATTACTTGTATATGTATAACGTTTGATAATGAAAAATGTGAACATGTTTTTTTTAATAACAACGTATACGCTCTTTTCATTTCTGCAAAAAATTAATTATTTAAACAATCTAATTTTGAATTATAATTTAAACCCTTAGGTTATATAAAAATGTTAAAAAAAACGTGACGATTTGTAAAAATCCGCCATTTTTAATTTAAAAAATTTTAATTCAGATTCGTCATTCATTTCTGGTCCACTATCAACGGTTAAAATTGTCTTAAAAATAAAATACAAATTTAAACATTAATATTTAAATTTAATATAATGAAAAGTTATACAGTGAGATGTTTTGAATGAAAATGGTTACATTCGATAAAATACCTACATTTGCAAAAACTTATCTCTTGATGTAGTTTGTTGAATATCTTATACAGATATATAAAGAAACTAAGAAGTCGGATAAACTCAAGATGAATATTTAATAATTCTTTAGTGATTTTTTAAAACCTTCTTAATTTAGCCAGTTTATTATGCCTTTGCATTCCCATTCTTCTCAACCTTCTCCAATAGGCTTTGGTATTTTTATCCATTTCCTCAAGAGGCGGTAGTGGGCCTGTGCGAATGTCCCAAAGCCAATTTGGATATTCTGAATCAGGTTTAATTTCAACGTCTTTACCTTCCTTATAAATATTACTTCCACAAACAAAAGTAAGCAATTTATTAACGTCGGTCTCGACTGGCAATAATCTTTTTGTAGACGTAGGTCCTACTTTTTTCCCCAGTTTTCCTTTCTTACCTAACGAAAGGTCTGCAAACATTAAATATTTAATAAAGATTAGGCGTACTAGTAAAATAACAACTTCAAGTGTAAAAATAAAAAAATTATTACTTGCAATAATATTTGTTTACTAATGCACATGAGTGTGATATAATATACTTTATTAAAAAGATAATAAGATTTTTTTAAATTTCATCCAGTTTCCTTTTCATTCACGAACAAAGTGTACTTTTAAAAAAATTAATTACAAAGGTTCTTGCAGATTTTGAAGTCGTTTATTACGAATCTGAAATCGGTTTTTAAAATTTCAAAATGGCAGATCCAATATGGCAGAAAATTTAATCCCTCTGCCACAGTGGTCTGAATTTGCAATTTACGGTTAAAAAAGTGTACAGCCTACATATTTTGTCGAAATTTTGCAAATTTTTTTATTAAAATACTCAAAAATAAATTTTTAAGAAAGTTGAGAAAGCACTATTTTGAATTTTTATTATTATTTGAATGCAAATAACCGATAAATGATGACTTTCATAGCTTTTCTTCTCCTATATTAAAAAAAAATTTGTTTCTCCTCGATATTGCTTAAATTTAATGAGTATTAACATATGAAAGATAAAAAACGATACTTTCAGCTGTACATAAATATTGTTCAAAAAATATTATTTATTAATGTAATAAACAAATTAAGTTAACAATTGAACTGTTCATTTGTTAACAGTCGAAATGGCATCGTTTTTTAATCGTTTTAAAATTATGTTACCAATAATATTTTTTATAGATATTTTTCATAAGTAATCATTTGTTTTTGTTATAAACCAATTGAGCTAACAAATGAATTGTTCATTTGTTTATAGTCGAAATGGCATCGTTTTTTTCTACGCGTTTTAAAATTACACTTCAACGCTGGTTTAGTGGACTGTCTGGGGGAGTCGTCCGTTAAATCTGGTTAAATCGAACAATACCTTTAACGAGGCCGGACAAAGAAAACCGTAAATCACAACCCAAAAAGTCCACTAAACCGGTGTCCGCTAAATCGGCGTTGGAGTGTATGTTACCAATAATATTTTTATAGACATTTTTCATAGGTTTTTATTTGTTTATGCTATAAACAAATAAAGTTAACAAATAAACTCTTCACTTGATTATAGGCGAAATGGATATGAAAAATGCCTGTAAAAATATTATTGGTTTCGTGTACGAAATGAACGCTTTTAAGTATAAAATATACATATTAATAATATAAAAAAAATTAAGAAATTTCTGACATCGAACAATCTGGTTAAATGAAAACATATGAATCCAGTTTAATGCAAGATGATAAAATAAAAATCTATTTGGAAAAATCATACATTTCAAAACATTTGAAGAATTTTCATACTTTCTGAACACAGAAAGTATAAAAATGCATGTAAACATTCAAAATGATAATAATAATAGATGAAAATGTGGAGTTTAAAAGCGAGAATATTTCGCTGGTTTTAATTATCGAAGAGATAAAATATGTCGACCAACTTTAAAATTGGAAAGTTGAGTTCCGTCAATTATCTTCCTGTTGCAACATATAATATTCGTTCGCTCATAAATTTAATTTTTTTTAAAACTATTTTTATGATTTAAGAGATTTAAGATTAATATTACATAAAAATAGAGAAATAACTAAACGGAAATAATTAAATTTAAATGTATACTGCCAGAAAGGAAAATAGTAAAATGGTACTTTCACATGTAATTAGTCCTTCTTTCAGCGTATATGCATTTTCTTAAGCAAATAAGTAATTCTTAAAATATGAAAATCTGTCATTTACGATTAATGTTTATTTACTTTTAAGGAATTCAAAAATCATTTTTCTTAGTCTCCTAAAAAAGAATTCAAGAACCCTGGAAGCGACCCTTGGAAAAATAATCAAATTTTTAATGTTAAACCATTTAACCTTTAACACAATTTTTCTATCTTTCTAAATACCAATTACATTTAATTAGAATTTCTATCAGAATTTAATAATTTTATGCACAAATTACAACCTAACCATAAAATATATCAACACAATGATACCGACAGTTAAACTTAACCTCAAAATGGAAATTTCTTTTCATCTATAACCCTATTTAAACAATATTATAGTGATGAATCAAAATTATATCAATAGTATTTCATTCCCTATAAAATAGTGCAAGTACTCATAAGAAACAACATTTTTTTCAATAATAAAAACAAATATATGTAGATTATAATAAAAGTTTCTTACTATGAGCGGCATAATTTCGTTTAAAGAAAACAGATTCTACATTAGAAACTATATGTTTTTGGATCAAAAACAGAGTATGACCAAATGATATCCTCATATTCGTCTATATTATTATTATTATTAATATAAAAACAATTAAATAAACTATTTTCTTTAAAATACTAGGTTATTATGGTTATTATTATCGTTATTATCAGACTTTTAAAAATCTCTGTGATAATGGGACGTCCACAATAGTGCAAACGCAGGGTTCGGAACCTTAGGCTGATTCCAGAATAGCTAAAAATCGTCTCGACTTTCAAGACGATTCGATGCGCGTACATACATTTTTGTTTACTGCGCATCGAAATCAAGACGATTTATTTTATTGTGGACTCAACCTTAAGGGAGCATTTACACCTTCGGTAAAAATTTCCAGAACGGAAAATTTTTCATTGGAGTAAGAGAGACAGACTGTGTATCTGACTCTCTTACTCCAATGCAAATTTTCCTTTCTGCACAATTTTTACAGAAGGTGTAAAGGCCAACGCAGAATAGATCTGTAACCGGAACCGCAATCGTAACTGTAAGCGTAAGAATGAGTTAGAGAAGGATAAACAATATACCTATCCTTCTTTAACTCATTCTTACGGTTACGCTTACGATTGCGGTTCCGGTTAAAGATTCTATTCTGCGTTGGCCTTAAACGCTCCATGAGCGTTCACACCGTTCAGGACGCAGTCCCATGGCAGCGTTTTTGCGTTGCGTTGTAATGAGAGAGAATGCAGCAAACGTATATTTGCGTCTTTTTCTCTTCCATTACGACGCAACGCAAAATACGGAAGCGCCTATACGCCACTGTAACCGAATCCCGTATGTGTGCATAAAGTAAGGTACAAATACAAGAATTGCGTGCGAGGGACCCCCTTAGGCTAGCTGAAATTCCCTAGAATAGAATTAATTGCGAGCGAGCCTACCCCTTAGGCTAGCTGAAATTCGTTAAAATTAAACGACTGTGTGAAAAGGAGGTTATGTTTTCTTTCCTGAAACATTAATTAAAATTAATTTTTTTAAACATTTCTTTTTCACAAATTGAAAAAAAGAAATCTTGTGAGGTAATAAGTTAAATTTATTTGGAAAAAAAGTAAAATAATTTTGAAGTTAAATTGATAATGTGTCTACAATTATTCTGATCCATTTTACAAAAAGAAAATTAGTTGTGTTATTTATGGGAAATTTTAAACATGAAATATTTATATTTTTTTAATATATACATACAAATATGTAAGTTAAAACAAAATCGAATTTTAAAAAACAGACCATTGTAGAAACTATTTAATAAGAGTTGAAAAATTATTAATAAATTAATTAAACATAACTTTTTTACAGAGCTAACAATTATCAATTTAACCTCAAAATTATTTTACTTTTTTCCAAATAAATTTAACTTATTACCTCACAAGATTTCTTTTTTTCAATTTGTGAAAAAGAAATGTTTAAAAAAATTAATTTTAATTAATGTTTCAGGAAAGAAAACATAACCTCCTTTTCACACAGTCGTTTAATTTTAACGAATTTTAGCTAGCCTAAGGGGTAGGCTCGCTCGCAATTAATTCTATTCTAGGGAATTTCAGCTAGCCTAAGGGGGTCCCTCGCACGCAATTCTTGTATTTGTACCTTACTTTATGCACACATACGCGATTCGGTTACAGTGGCGTATAGGCGCTTCCGTAGCAAAACGCTGTCATGGGACTCCACCCTAAGGGTGCAGTCCCATGGCACCGTTTTGCGTTGCGTTTTTGTAACTAGGCCATGAGTGTGAGAGAGATGAAGATATAGGTTCGCTATATTTGCACTCATGGCCTAGTTACAAAACGCAACGCAAAACTGTACCATGGGACTCCACCCTAAGGGTGCGATCCCATGAATGCAGAATACGTCGACCGAAAGCAGAAAATCATGTGAGTGAAAAGAACAACAATATCTATCTATCTCTTTCGCACTCATGATTTTCTGTTTTCGGTCGACGTATTCTGCTGTAATGGGATTGCACCCTAATGTGCACACCGCCTTACACGGTGTGCGTTAAAACGTTAGTAATTTGAAATAGAGAAGGACTTTTAGTAGGAGCACACCATCTTATAAATTCTTTATAGTTAACGGATAAAAATGAAAAATTTTAACAAAAAAGAATAATAGAGATATATAGTAAATATTTATAAATATTAAATGTTGATATTCAACTTAAATAAAAAATGTGCTCTGTTAAGTATGAGACAGACAATGATTTCACGATGTCCAGAAATTACACTGATATACTGAAATATCAAATTAATGATGAAGGTTGTAAAACAACTTCATCTACTGAACAGGTAAATAAGTTACTATAATATTATTATATTAATCCTAAGATTTATGAAAAGTGTTCTCTTACCGTTTTTAACATATTTCGTTATTTATTGCTGTTTTTCTCATAATTGATAATATCACTTTGCTACACTGAAATAAATAATTGTCTGTATGTATAGCCTTAGAAAGTTTTTATTTTGTCAATATAGTAGAAAATATTCATTCTCAAAATTTTTTCTTATTTTCTAAACAACAAAAGTGTTCCTTCTTCTGTTAGTTAATCTACAAAAAGTTGAATTTCAATTGTTCTATTCTCTAAATTATTAACTTTTTTAAATTATTGAAATTAAGTAGGTATTATCTTTTCTAACGTTTGAAATTTATAACATGCACTCTAAAAAAAGTAATCTCGTAGTTAGAGGAAAAATCCTCTCAAAACAAAAGTATTCCATTTGAATGTAGAATAGAATATTTTTATTCTTTAGTGGTTAAAAATAAGACAAAACCATTTTTTGAGGTTCAAATGTCAAAAACATTGAATTCAAATGAAGCAAATAAACAAATAAATATATTAATTTATGTAAGTAATGAACTATTAATCATTAATTATATTTATTTAATTAAAAACGTTTAATTTAGTCCATCAAAATGGCTTTTCACTATCAGTTCTTAACATGATTGATGAATCAGGAAAAAGTCGGAAAATATCATATTTCTAGAAATCGTCGGTTTGGTGGAAAACCGTACCATTTCAAGAATTCGTTGAAACGATACCACTTCAAAAGTTTTTTATAAAACATATGGGTAGTTCTACAAAATGAAGGAAGAAAATTAAGAAAATTTAGGCACATTTTTTTTACGTTCAGATTTTAAAAAGTAGGTTAAATTCAAGTTAAAAGTATTATCAAAGTTACCTAAAAATTTTACATCTTAAGCACATGTGTATTCTGTCAGAATTTGCCAGGAAACTGAGAATTTGGTCATTTTTCGTCTAAAAAATTGAAAAACAAGGCTTAATAACAAAATTCAGAATACTGGTCAACAGGGAATAAGGTTCTACGACACCTAGAACAACAAAAGTATAAAAGCATAAAATATTTTTTTTTAAAATGCGTACCAGGAAACTGAGAATTTGTCTGACCAAATGCCCATTTCGATCACAAAGTACACAATTTTAGTTAATTGAACTGCAAGTTAAGTAAAATGCAAGTGATATCCTATTTAGTTAACCTTTACTAAGCACTGTGAAAAATGGTGAATTAATCAGAATGGAAATTCTTAATAATTTTAACGTTTTTTATGATGCCAGGAAACAGAATAAATTCGAGGGACAAAATTCAAGATACAATTTTTTAAATAAAATATAAAGTAATGTAACAATTATTTATTCTTTGTAAAGTACAACTATTTGAAATTATTATCCAAGTGTAAATTTCTATTTAAACGCTTGAAAATAATATTTACATATTTTATTAACTTTCATTTTCACATTTGGACATGCCAGGAAACTGAGAATTTGGCACTTGAATGCTTATTTTTTGCAAAAAATATTTTTTGAAACCGGGTAACATTTTGTGGCATAATAGAAATAATTAAGCACTACAGTTCCTATTAAAAATAATTTTATTTTTGGCAGCGTTTACAATGATGTCACGCAATTTTTCGGGATTTTATATCCCTCCTCCCTGTCACGCAATTTTATGCAATTTCACATGCAATAATACATTGTGTCACGTTTAGTAGAGACCCTTCCCCCTCCCCCAAAAACGTGACATCATCTGTGAACGCTCCCTTTTTCAAAATTAATGTAAAAAACAACCTTGGACATCATAAATTCCCGCTTTTGTAGAACTACCCATATACCATTTTGAAGAAAGGATTTTTTTTGTTTTTTTCCGAGTCATTCCATTATAATATTTAGAAAGTCACATAATTTTCTGTGTAAATGTAAACAAATAATTGAAATTTATTGAGAAAGTTGATAGAAACAATTAAAGATAAGAAATGTGAAATAAAATACGATTTTAAAGTTCACACGTCAAATAACCCAATTTTGCAATTTTTATCTATTAATTGTGAGAAAGGGAAATCATTAAATTAAACAGAAGTTTTCCATCTGCTGTAGGTTCATAGCCATGTGTCATTTCTTTAAAACTAGGTACTTTTATGACCTCCTTTAAAAGAGTCAAATTTACCGTGGAGTTAAAAATACCTATACATAAAAGAGTAAAATTACAATCTTTTGTATTTTTCCAATTAGAATGTGTATTTTTCCTACTTTAAAAGAAGGGTTATTGCCAAGGATTTCCAAAATAAAATTACCATCTTTAGGATATTTTTTAGAGTCTTTTTACAGTATAGAAAAGAACAAGCAATTAAAATGATCGATTTTTCGATTTTCGACATTTTTAAATATAAATAACTTTCTTTCAGAAAAATATTAAGTTATTCTTAATAAATTAATAAATTACAAATCGATGATTATAAATCTAAAGACAGATGTAAAAATTAGGTGATTTTAAGGTCGCTGATTACGAATTTGATGTAATATTTGCATTCATACTTAAATGTAAAAAGGCTGCTTTTTGAAATGATGGTTTTTAGAGTTAAGGTGACTTTCTGGTCAAAGATTTTAAAACAATCGATCTTTCTTTTTTTATGTAAAATACTCCTTACTATCATAAAATTACAGTCACAAAAAAATTTTTGAAAAAATATGCAAAAGAAAAAAATTTATAGCAATGTCTAATTCACTGTAGTGCAGTACGAAAACTTTAAACGCATTTTTCTCGAAAACATATTTTTTACAACTAGGAGACACTTCTCGAAATATACTGAATCGATTTAAAAGAAACGAAAATCATTTGATTCTTTATCTAAAAAATTAGACAACAAACCTCTAAAATTTCACTTTCTTACCCCTTGATGTTTTCTACGAGGGTAAATTTTTCGATTTTCTGAGAAAAATGCGTACAAAAATTTGTAAAACATTTTTTTGAAAAAATTGTTTTTGAGGTTTGATGTTTAGAAAAACCTTTATGAAGAGAAAGCCGGTTGAATTTTTAATTTATGTAAAACAGGTTGTCCGGAAACTGTCTCCCCAAATAAAAGGCATCTTTTGGAAGACAGAAGAAAAAATTAACTAAAGATACTCAAAAAAAAGTGTTTAATTCTCTTCTTGTATAATATGTAAAACAGTATCTAAAAGGAATTTTTGCAACAACTATAATACCTTATTTTTTGCAATAAGAGTTTAAAAAAGTGTGTTTTTAGGGTTCCGTACACCTACGGTGTAACGGCGGAACCCTATTGGTGAGACTCTGTTGTCCGTAGCCAAATCGTGTCCCTCCCCCCTAGCGGCTAAACTATTTGACCTAAAGAGCTTAAATTTGGTCCAGATATGTATTTTCACTCGTAGATTACAGGAAAAATATAGCGAATGTGATTGGACGTGATGGGCATAGCGTTGTCAAGGAAATAACAAGATTTTTGGCCAAAAATGCATAAAAAGAGACCATTCCCCCCCCCCTTAACTTCTAAACTATATTCGACATGGAGAGCTGAAATTTTGCATGCTGGTGTATTTTTACTCGAATATTACAGGAAAAATATAGAGAACTTGATATGTAATGATGGCCATAGCGTTGTCAAGGAAAAACTAAAAAAATTTTAAAAAAAAATTTTTTTCTCTAACTTTTACATTATTTGACCTAATGAGCTGAAAATTGGTATCCTAGTGTATTATTACAGTCTGACGACAAAAAATTTATTTAAGAAAATTTTTGAAAAAAAAATCAAAAAAAATTTTTTTTAATTTTTTTTTCAAAAAAAAAAAATTTTTTTAAATTTTTTTTAGTTTAAACACGTGGCATTAAATATTTTAAGGAAGAGAGTGAAATTTTAAGAGAATAAATGAGAGATTGTTTTCTGACTTTAATTTCTTAACTAAAAAAAAAAAAATTGGACAAGTGCGAGTTGTACTCCCACTGCAATGGCGGGTTCCGTACACAAATATTAAAACAATACTTGCAACATTTATCGGTAATTGATAGAATTAAAATAAACAATTAAAAAAATATATTAAAATCATTTGATAAAAAAAAAACTAAAAAAAAATTAAAGTATTGTATATCTAATATTGTAAACAATAATAAGCAGAGGAACTATAATTTTGAAAATTTTGTTCCTCTGCTTATTATTGTTTACAATATTAGATATATACAATACTTTAGTTTTTTTAGTTATTTTTTTTATCAAATGATTTTAATATATTTTTTTAATTGTTTATTTTAATTCTATCAATTACCGATAAATGTTGCAAGTATTGTTTTAATATTTGTGTACGGAACCCGCCATTGCAGTGCGAGTACAACTCGCACTTGTCCAATTTTTTTTACAACTTCTACACCAGAAAGTTTCCTTAAGATCGTGCAGTAAGGACTCCTTTCTGAATTTGCCACTTTTTATTCGAAACAATATCAGCTGATGATTATTTTCAGCCGTAATAAGTTGATTTTCGTTGATTAGGATTTTTGAAGATTCGCTCTAAACGAGTTATTACTTGGGGATCTCCAATTCTTCAGTGCAAATGTAAAAGTAAACTAATCAGACATTATCAAGAAAATTGTGATTTATCAAATTTTTAGTTCTTGATAAAATTCGCGCAAATAAAAATTCTGACAAAAATGAAGAATCAGAGAGATGAAAATTGTGTCATTTAAAAATTCGGTTCAATTAACATTCTGCGAATGAAATCTGATAAATGAAAGTTCAATTAAATTAGAATTCTTTTAAAACGAAACTTGGATATATAGAAATTCTGTTAAATAAAAATTCACATAGCAAGTGTTCGAGTTTCGATTGAACAAAAATTTCGTTGAGAAGGAATTTTGATTTATGAAAATTGTATTAAATATAAATTATTAAATAAAATTTTTAGAGGTGTGCAAAAAGCTCGAAACCCGAAGCTCGAGCGGGTATTTTCGAGCTTTTCATTTTTCGAGCCGAGCCGAGCCGAGCCTAT